ACACGAGTTAACAACGCACTACATAGAGATACAACCACGATCGGATGATAAGAGCATATCATTTGTGACTCAATGAGAGCTGTTTCAGTACTATAGTATACGGTCTAAATCCTGAAAATAATCAAACAAATAACGAGTTGACAACAACACGATTCTATCTGGTCTAGAAACCATGTTTTGTAACGAAAAACCACGCAATAAAACGAACCAGAAATGACGCGAAACTGCAGAGAAGAACACAACACGCGAATATGGACGTCAGACAGAAACTAGTGCTGCACACTGTTTGCTCGACGATCTGCTCTGAGAAAAAAAAATGCAAAAAAGAAAAAGTAAGATTTACCTGGTGTCCTCAACCCATGCGTTGCTATGATTGGCTGTACTCATGACATCACTGAGATTGAGTCGCGCGACTGGGCGAGATATCTAGCATGCTAGATATTTTTCTGAGCTCGGTGACCTGTCTGCGAGCTGTCTGCGAGCTGTCTTTGATGCGTTGTTGGCTCTTTCACACTAACTGATTGGCGAGCGTTAATCGTCCGCTAATCGCCCGCGATTTGCACGCGATAACACCCTGACTTGTCGGCGACTCAACGATTTGCAAATCGGGCTTAAATCGGGCTTAAAATCACGTAGTGTGAACTAGGCTTTAGTTAGCGAAGATGCTAGCTGTTTTTCGGAGAATTATTTTACTATTTAAAGACGCAAATCTTTATGAGAGATGTCGTTACGGAGCTCAGGGACAACATGTGCTGTTCGCGGTTGTATGTATAACCGGACTAAACTAGTTCAGTGGCTTAAACGTGATTGTTTTGAACATAAGCTGAAAACGAGTGATCCTGCCAGAGCCCGTCTCTGATCCTGCCAACGATAACGTTAGTTTCCATCACCTCCCAAAAGACGACGAATCTTCCTGTGTACATTTTTTTTAATTCTTTATATTTTATAAACTCTATCAGCATGTGATTGGCTGTTCGCTACTGATGTTACACCTAAACTCAGGATCAAAGCCTGTGTTGACAGAATACCAAATGTGCCAGTTAATGTATTCAAGCAGCACATTCACTTATAATTTTGAATAAACTCCAAAGCACAATGACTAAGTGTGTATTTTTTTACTTGAATTGTTTGTCAGCTCGCACAACTGTCTGTCACCATGCCTTGATGAGTATTGATAATTAATAATGTTATTATAATACTCCCAATCAACTACTGCGGAGGGTAAAGGTGCTGTTATTTCACCCTTTTTAATTTCGTTGAGGTTGTGTTCCCACATCGTTAGCTAGTTTGGATCGCTATAACTTGAATGACTGTCAACTGTTGAATGAACGAGTGTTAAGCATGTCAAGTCGCGCTTTGTTTACTTCCAACCGGAAGTCGCGCCCACTTTTGACGCAAGGCCTCATGGGGCGTAGGAAACTTGTGGATACTTTCGCCTGCCTCCGCAGCGCGAGTCTCCACAGACAGCGCGCGCACCGCTCTTGACCCGCTCGCAACCGGACTCGTCGTCATGGCGGCGCGCATTGTTTAGAGCAGATATAGGTGGATAAACAAGGCTTCCGTCTCATCGCGGGTTCAGATACACTGAAATACGTCGAATTTCATTCCAAATATGTAAAATTCCGCGTCAACACTAGATTCCGCGTTAATTGGCCAATTACGCGATTCCGTGATCGCGTAAATTATAGGGCCCTACAAAGATGGCCGGGCCTTTTCTGTAGCCACTCGATCCTCTGTCCTTAAAAACATCGCCTACAACTAAAAACGTTGGTTTGTATATTCTTGTACAGCTTGAAACAGCTTCTTTTGCAAATAAGAAACGTGATGAATGAGCAAGGTCAACTTTATTTTGCCTTAACTATGAAGGTAAGCAAAGATAACATTAAGAGCAAATCCACACAAAAGAGTCTTTCCTGCACAGATTACAGGAGTTTTGACTTTCCTTCCCACTAAAAACAAACAAATCGACTCGCTATTCTCCGTCTGAGATCAGAGTCAAACCGAGAACACACGAACCTTGGAGCAAAAGTTATTTGATATCCTAAAGAAACGTTGGGGATGGGACAAAATCGTGGTCAACAGAATACAGATACTTTAGAAGTGGGTTGTTTATTTTACCCACAGTTCATTTGTGTAAATCATTCATTTGTGAAGAACAGAACGCAGAGTTACAAAGAGTTAGTGAAGGGTGTATGAAAGATAAGAGGCCGGCTCGGATATCAAAAGCGGCTGCTGGTGGGCCGCGGGACAGCAGATATAGATCATTCCAGAGTACAGCTCATCCATACAGTTTTACAAATGATCCACAGCAAAACATGCGGCTGACGCTAAATAGATTGGAACAAATCATTGGTGTGTGTGTGTGTGGCAAGAGCGGTTAGAGAACAATTTGATATATATAAATGATGATTTTATTGACCCATATGAATGCTCTCATGTTAATTAGTGCAGTCATTTTAATATATTTCATTTTAATAATAATATTATATCCTATTTATATTCAATATATATTTCAATTACCATTGTCATACACAACATAGTGTTTGTTGTGTTTTCAGAAATACATACATCGGGTCTTTATTGATCAGTACTCTGAATATGTGATACTTCATTACAGTAGATTTAATGTGTTCCTAATATTCATTTAATATTATTATTTATTTCTAAAAATATGAAATCTATAAAGAGAAATTTGCTTGAACAATATTCTACAAATCAATCATGAAAATGTATTCCCAACTTATTGAGCAAAAATGAAAAGAAATTCAAAACAACACAGAAAAAAAGTTGTAATAAACTAAATGTTTAAAGGAGTAGTTCACTTTTAAAAAAAACTTTTGCTGATAATTTACTCACCCCCATGTCATCCAAGATGTCCATGTCTTTCTTTCTTCAGTCGAAAAGAAATTAAGGTTTTTGATGAAAACATTCCAGGATTTTCTCCCTAAAATGGACTTCAATGGGGTCCAAACGGTTTAAGGTCCAAATGAGAGTTTCAGTGCAGCTTCAAAGGGCTTTAAATGACACCAGATGATGAATAAGGGTCTTATCTAGCGAAACGATCGCTCATTTAATAAATAAATAACGAAGTTTAAGTTTTATAAGCTCAAATGCTTGCCTTGCTCTGTTCTGTGATGAGCGTTCGTGACTCTCCTGTTCAAACTGGTTCATCATAATGAACGAATCTTTTTTCGAGTCATGACTCGAAGGGTCCTAGATAAGGCCCTTATTCATCATCTGGTGTCGTTTAAAGCCCTTTGAAGCTGCACTGAAACTCTCATTTGGACCTTGAACCGTTTGGTTCCCATTGAAGTCCATTATATGGAGAAAAATCCTGGAATGTTTTCATCCAAAAACCTTAATTTCTTTTCGACTGAAGAAAGAAAGACAAGGACATCTTGGATGACATGGGGGTGAGTAAATTATCTGTTAGTCATTTTATCTTAAATTACATTAAATAGACTTAAAAAATTAGTTGAATCGTGCATAACTCATAAAAATGTATTTTGATTAGTTAAAGTAATGTAAAACACGTTGTCATAACTTACTGATAATACATTTTTTACTGTGTTAAATAAATAAATTGTCAGTGAACATCGATGTAATTATCACAAAATGTCTGATAATTGAAAAATTAATATTTGAATAATTGATAATTGAAATTAATCAAAATTGATCTGATAATTGAAATGCATTTCAGTAAACTCTTCTTCCTGTCATTCCAACTTAAAATCCAATGTAAAATTAGGATCAACTCTTTAAATTTGATTCAAAAGGTGTGAATCAAATGGGATTCGGTTCTCAAATGCAGCTAACTCTCGTTCTGATACAAATCCGGTTGTTTGGAGATCTTCAGAAGAACCGCAGGTGACGGGGCGATCCAGTTACTCCAGCAGAGCTAAAGCTGCCAGAGAAAACCTCAACACTTCAGAATGTGTTCCTAAAAATTGCAGACGGGACCTTTAAACGTCTGCTGAAATCCCAGGGTTCAGCTGTGCAGTTCGGCACCACGCGGTGCGAGTAAACCCACATAACCCACACAAACACTCACTGAAAACCACCCGTTGGAAAAAAGCACATCTTCATTGGGCCGATTGTTCGGACATCTGTGTTGAGTTAAAGAGCCAGGGTCAGTATAAGACTGTAACCCCATGTAAATCTCCCAGACAAACACACACATTTCCCTTAGACTGATTTAACTGACCTGGAAACGACTGGGCAAAGTCGAAAACGCTCTGAAAATACAATTAATACCACAGAACCAGCGCACAAATCTGACAGATTTACTGTCCTCTCCTATTGGTTAACCGCACAGCCCACTTCATTTTGACACGGAGGATAGAGTGTGTTCTGGCGGTCGGTGAAGAGTTTGATTAGACGTCAGCCATTGTAAGTTTGGGTCCAGCAGTGATCCACAAGCTTCTGTGTTTGTGTTGATATTTGATATTTGTACCAAATATTAATTAAATAAGAATATTTAATTCTATGAAAGTGATCAAAAACATCTAAAATTGCGGTGGCACTGTTAAATGAGCGATATTCTACAAATACATTTATTCCCAACTCATTGAACAAAAATTCAAAGAAATTCAACACTGCAATTAAATTTTTTTTAAGTAAAATCAACTCAACAGATGTTTATGTTATTTCATTAAACCGAGTTGAAAAATGAGTTGAATCTGGTATCACAAAAGTTGAACTTATTTTGCTAAACTTATTTTGATGAGTGAAAGCAAATGTAAAACACACGCTGTCATAACTTATTCATAATATATTCTTTTACAGAGAACAGATTAAACTTTATTAGACAAGTTTACATTTTATTAGACTACTTGTGTTTTGAGAATAAATTCTCAGTGAACATCGATCACAATCACAAAATGTGTTGGTCTAATAAATGCCTTGAATTGCATTTCAGTAAACTCTTAACTTAAAATCAAATCCATGGAAATCTATGGATATTTTCCAGGATATTTTCAGGAAAAGAAGCGATATCTTACCCAGACAGTTGTGTCCGTCGTGGGCCAAACGGAAGCCGTCGTAACACGTGCATCTGTAGTTTCCAGGGATGTTGATGCAGTCGTGAACGCATCCTCCATTATATTCACTGGCACACTCATCGATATCTGGAGTACAAATTAAAAGATAAAAGGGTCATATAATAGGAAACATATATATTTTACACGTACTATATATACACACCAACACCTTTCTACTTTTATTCAGCACGGATGCATTCAATTGATCAAAAGTGACAGTACTTCAGCACTTCAGCAGACCGTCTTGATCATGTCTACACGCCTAAATGCATTGAGTTGCTAGCATGTGATTGGCTAATAACATTTTTTCATTAACCAGCAGTTGAACAGGTACAGTATACCTAATAAAGTGGCAGTGTGTATATATCAGAGATGGGGACTCGAGTCGCACTTGTGTCACACAAACGCTGACTTGTCAAAAGACTTTTGTTTTCATGCAATTATTGCTTTTTAAATTTAAATAAAAAATTAAATATTTCTATTTTCTTTTATTGGCGCATACGTTGGGGAAGCGTATGACAAGCTGCATGTCCCCCGCCCTTTGTCATACTGTGCATGAGAGAGCGTATTTAGGCCACGCCCACACCGGGGGAAAACAATCCGTCTCCATTGACTTTGCATCTGTAGATTTCTCATAAATTCAACAAAAGTTGGCATTGTAAATCATCTCGCTGCTCCGCGATCTGCACCGTCATCACAGACATCACTAGAAAGCGCTCTCTCTCTCTCTCTCCAGTTCAATGTTGTCGGATCCAAATATGGTCATTTCCTTTTAATCAGCAACCAATCGCGAAAGTAAAAGGGGGGATTTAACTCTAAATGAGCAATCTCATTGGCCTGATGGAAATCTTTAGATCCCGTTTCGCGTTTTCTCAAAATGACTTTTCTCTCAAACTCCAATTCTGAAATCTCCACTTCAGTAGCACCTATATACCAAACCTGATACACCAAACTGTCAAGTCTTGTACCTAGTTTTATTATGAAGACTATAACAGATGGATTTGTAAATATATTATTCCTAGCTTGATTTATATAACATTGTTTTTCTAAAAACATGGCGAAAATCTATTTAAGGCTATCTGATATCTGATAACAAAAGTAGATATCCATTAAATATCTATTTTTCCCCATCTATTACTGTATGTGAACACAATGAAAAAAATATTTTAAACCTGGCTTTATCTAATATTTCTAAATTTCGTTTTTTTTTTTTTTAAATATATGCAAATTCGCACATATTTAATTAGACAATGCCTAATAATTTAAGAGTTGAGACTTGACTTGGACTCGTGGCAAAAGACTTGAGACTTAACTTGAGCTTGCCCCTTAAAGACTTGAGACTTGACTTGGACTCGAGCTCAAAGACTTGAGACTTGATTGGACTTCCAAAAAATGACTTGTGAACATCTCTGATATATATATATATATATATATATGGTTACAGATTCCTCTCTAGTTTACCATCTAGGGACCGTCTCCTTTTCATACAGACGCCTATTCAGTATTCACCAATTTCTGCTCTTCATGTCAATCAACACAGTGAAGATTCCAGTACGTGGAGATTTTTTGCCGCTAAAAAATTGACTAACATTAAATGTTGACTTATAATGTGTAAAATATGACCCCTTTAAAATCCATCTGCTCCTTTAAATGGTTCCTAATTCATTATTTCGGTCAATATGAGCTTCTGTGTGCCGGTAACTGTGGCGATTATAGTGAATTATGCCTTATGTTTGTATGGCGAGAGCAGCTGAATAAACATCTCAGAGCCAGAGAGAGAAGTGGATGACTGTGTGTGTGTGTGTTGGGGGGGCATCCCCACTCATTTGACGCCCAATTGAGCACTAATTACCCAGACTCGTCTGCTCTGCTTTGTAGTCGTCTGAGCTCAGTGAGTATGGAGAGGCACTCACAGCCTGGAGTACAATGCTTTATTTTTCTTTATTCCTCCTGAATGCTTTTTATTCCACCTCCAACACAGTACAAAGTCTTTGCACTTTTCATTTTTATTTCGGTTTTGCACAAAAGCAACACCAGCTTCACTCCATCAAACTACAAGATACTCTCTGTCTGAGGCCAAGCAATCTAGGGGACGAGCAATTCAGAGAAGCATTTTGCACTATTTATTACAGTCGTATTGTTTACGGGTCGTTCGTGTCACACTGAGATGATCGCAGATGTGGAATAAACGTGTTTTCTGTATCCAAGAAAAATAATAAATAGCCTATTAAGACTCAGATGATGGAGTATATGGATTAAACCATGCAAAATTAACCTGAAAACCCAAACTGTCTGCATGGACCAACATTTTTAAGGTTAAAGCTGGTTAACGTGAAAATTCAAGCAGTGACAGGAGCGATATGAATTACTTCATGTCAAAAAAACCCTTTATGATCTTGTATAATATATTTATGCATTTTTTTGTGAACCTATTTAACAAAAATTAGTACCTGATAAGGACCAGATTAATATTTTTTTAGAGCCTGGTTACAAAAACAAAAGTCTCACCATTAAAATGCATGTCTCAAGCACACAATTATGATGACAGACTCGTGCTGCACATATTACACTTAAACATGTTTTCCTTTTTTGAAGTGATTCCAATCATATTTTAAGCAATTCAAACATCTGAAGCGTCTCAGATGAAGGAAATAATCCATTATTCATTGGCTTTGATATCTGCCAAATTTATGCTATATATCGATTGATACCGATATGATGGCCAATATATCGTACACCTTATATTTTTATATTATATTATTACAGTATATACACTCTCAGAAAAAAGGTACAAAAGCTGTCACTGGGGCGGTACCTTTTCAAAAGGTACACTTTTGTACCTAAAGGGTGCATATTGGTACCTTCATGGTACATATTTGTACAATTATGGTACCAATATGCACCCTTTAGGTACAAAAGTGTACCTTTTTGAAAAGGTACCGCCCCAGTGACAGCTTTTGTACCTTTTTTTCTGACAGTGTAGCACTTCTTAAAAATGTATTGATCTAAAGCTTTAGCTTAAAAAAGCTTGTAGCTATATAAATTGTGCCTAAATCTAAATATAAAAAGATGTAAAGACATGAAAATCTTGCTGGTTAAGTTAGTTGGGAAGAAGTGTGACCAGCCATGCCGTTCTTTTCGACAGCTAAGAGCTGTTATTTACTCATAATAACCCACGTTATTTGTAGCAAATAGCTATCAAGAGTTTTGCAATAGCTTTCAGAGGATTAGGATCCGGTTCTGGTTCTGGTCTTTTTGTGTGTGTGCAGAAATTCAGCGCGTGGGGAAGTATATTTGAACAACGATGTTCATATCTCCCCGGCACACATTTGTGTTTCCACACCATATCAATGGTTTTACGCGCTTATCCCAGTTTAGTTTAGTAAACATTACCGAACCCCTTCGCTTTCCAGTGTTTTGCCTGGGCTTAGGATGTTTGTATCCAGAAAGGATCACATTGGGTCTAAAAGCAGCATACACCTCTCCAAATACAACTGAGCTTTAAAAACTAGGCAAACGGCCTCAAGAAAGCAATATTTCCTAAGATATGGCTTTATCATAGTGCCATTTAGTGCTGTTAACTCACATTGACGTGATTGGAAATGCAAAGCGTTTTTTTTTTTTTTTTTGGTGGTGGTGGTGGAAACATCTCTGTGTAATTACCAGGCCAAGTCATTATCGGTAACGTGTAAGATATTTCATGCTCTATTTCACGTCCAAAGTGTAAAGAATTGAGTCTGTCATCTTTTTAATCTTGTATTTGAACACCTATTTCCCTTCCCTCAGGATAGTCTGAAAATGAAGCCAAGGAACTGCAGAAATGAGACATGGAGAAGTAGACCTTGAAGTGTCTGAACACTGTACACACACACACAAATAATCAGCCAGAGTGATCTTATTATAGACTACACGGAAAAAACAAACAGATTTCAAGAGTGATTTTGTCTTCATTCCAAGTAATATCTCACTATCCTTAAACAAGATAATTTTATTGGAAAAGCATATGATATTAATATTCAAATTAGGTTTGTTTTTCTTTCCCCACACAGCTAAAATGTTTTCTCCTGCTTTAAACCTCAAGTATTTTGTACTTAAATCAAGAGAAGAGTTGGTTACACTATTCTATTAACTATCATTAACTTTGCAACTACATGTCAACTAACTCTCATTAGAGTATTAGTATACAGTTTGGTTAGGGTTAATAGGGATCAGGGTTTAGAATAGGTTTCCATGTAAAATACTTCATGTACAATTTAAGTGGTTCCCAGGGTGTTGTTATGCAGCTACTAAAGGGTTTTAGGTGGTTCCAAGGGGGTTGCTGTGCAGTTTTTGTTGCCGGATGTTGCTAAGATGCGTTGGGTGGTTGCCAGGGCATCGCTATGCATTTGCTAAAGTGTTTTGAGTAGTTGCCAGGTCAATGCTATACAATTGCTATGGTGTTCTGGGTGGTTGCCAGGACGCTGCTATTCAGTTACTAAGGTGTTTTGAGTGGTTGCCAATGCATTGCTATGTAGTAGCTAAGGTGCTTTGAATGGTTGCCAGGGAGTCCCTATGGAGTTTTGGGTGGTTGACAGCACGTTGCTATATATTTTCTAAGCATTTTTGTGAGGTTGCCTGGATTTTGCTATGGTGTTTTTGCCAGTTGCCAGTCCAGAGTTATGTAGTGGCTAAGGTGTTTTGATTGGTTGTCAGGGCGTTGCTATGGAGTTGCTAGGGTGTTCTGGTTGGTTGTCAGGATCCTGGGGGGGAAAGAGTTTTTGTGCCACATTATTGTGGCAACCGAGTTCTTTCTAAAGTTAACCTCGTGATTAATTATTTTATTGCATTATTCTTAGGGCTGTGCAAAAATTAATTGCGATTAATCGCATCCAAAATAAAAGTCTGTGTTTACATAATATATTTGTGTGTGCTGTATATAATTATTTTGTATATATAAATACCTATGCATGCATGCATGTATATATTTAAGAATTATTTGCGCTTAAATTCTGTATATATATATAAATAAAAACATAATCTATATTATATAAATATAAATATTTTATATATGATTAACACATTTTCTTAAATATATACATGCATGTGTGTGTATTTTTATATATACAAAATAATTATATACAGCACACACAAATATATTATGTAAACACAGACTTTTATTTTGGATGCGATTAATCGCAACTAATTTTTGCACAGCCCTAATTATTTTATATGATTACTTGCACTAAATTTCTTCAATCAACTTAAACTTCTTAAATCAATAGCCATATGTATATTCTCTTATGCAGTTTGTTCTCAAATACGTTGATATTGTTTCAAATCTAACTTGTTATTTTTTTTATTTTATTTTCATTTTAATTCATTGAATAAATTAACTGTCCCACATGATGTCTATTTTTAAACGGCTTGTTTCTACATATACAAGAAAGCTTTTTAACATACAGTAGAACTTCATCAGCACTGTACGCTTAATAGTTTTACTCTAAAATAAGACAAAATTACATAAGTGCATTCTAAATATCATCAGAATCAAGTGTTGATAAGTCCTCATGTTTTTGCATCTTTAGTGTTTCTTACCTTCGCAGTGTTTCCCATCACCTTTGTATCCTGATTTGCAGATGCATTTGTATGACTTGAGGGTGTTCTGACAGATGGCATCTATACTGCAGCTGTCCAGGGCCTCGGCGCACTCGTCCACATCTGCTGAGAGAAAAGGAAATCAAGAGGCTTAGAAGAGCTCGAGCACGCTCTATTTTGAGAAATACCGACACATGTTTTTGCCCCGGGCAGGTATATAGAAACACTCAAGCGAAAACTTGATCCAGCATGCAAGAACAGTAATGTGACAACAAATTAATTGTACAATTCCCCCCAAAGAAACAGAGGCGAAGAGACCAAACCAAACCAGACCTGAGCACAAAACCAAGCTGTTTCCCAGTTGAGACGTAATTCTGAGGACTTCAGCATCTCATATTCCTGTGACCTCTGGGATTAAAGCCAAACCCAACATTTCCCGCACAGGGATACTTCACCAGCGCTCTGGCATTTCCTGCAGTCGAGTTGGTGCTATGCATCGCTTTGACTAAACCGTAACACCAAAAATGCATTCTGTCCTCGTCAAAGGTCAATAATGTTTCCATGTTACCCTTACAAAAGACAGTCTTCTAATACTCTTTTTCTTCTGATAATATACAAATCTAATTCGAAATCTACCATGGTGCGCTGTTGCAATCCATGACAGAGTTAAAACTAGATCTTTATGTTTTCCGACCAAAAAGAGTGTTTTTCTTCCTGTAAGATTCAATAGGATGATGCTAGGGTGCTGTGGGTGGTTGGCAAGGCATTGCTTTGCAGTTGCTAAGGTGTTCTGGGTTGTTCCCAGAGTGTTGTCATGCAAGTACTAATGTGTTTTAGGTGGTTGCCAGTGCATTGCTATCAGTGTTGGGTAAGTTACTCTAAAAAAGTAATTAATTACTAGTTACTAATTACCTCTTCAACAGTGTAATTAGATTACTGTACTAATTACTCTCTCTAAAAAGTATTTAATTACTTATAATTACTAATTACTTTCAAAATCCCATATCAATCTCAACCAGCTGAATAATACAAGGATAGACATGAATCTGTTTTAATTCTTTCAAATAAATACTATAAAATTGCAATTATTCTTAAACTTAAAAGGTGGAGAAGGTTACATTATAAAAACATACTTTTTAACATCAGACAATACATTTTGATGTTAAACCCACTATTGTTTTCTGTCTGATCTCATGACATCACACTTTTTTTTATACATATTTTACAATAATTCATACGAATTTGTACAGGTCGTACAATTTAGACACCTCATAAAATGCATACGAATCGCTGTGAGATCGGATTGATCTATATACACAGTATTTACCTCAATTACATCAGAAGTAACTGTAATTAAATTACTGATAAATTAAGAGAAATCCCTTACTTTACATTTTCAAGGGAAAAGTAATTAAATTACAGTAACTAATTACTTAGTAATTAGTTACACCCAACACTGATTGCTATGCACAGTAGTTGCTAAGGTGCTATGGAGTTGCTATGGAGTTTCTAGGGTGTTCTGTGTAGTTGCCAGGATGTTGGTATACAGTTGCTAAGTTGTTTTGGATGGTTGCAGGGCATTGCTGTCTTTCTACAGTTTCCAGGATGTTGTGTGTGATTTCTGTCCGGCCCAAGTCATGCAACCCTGCCATAAAATCGAATTATGCAGTAAATTCTAGCTCTTTGACAAATATGCATTGAACATGGGGGGGTGTTGAGAAAAATCAAACTAAACTACAAAACTGTTTGGCACTGGCTAAAAAAAACAAAGTGATTTCACATGGCTAGCAGTCAAAGCTGGCTTTCTCCTTCTGGAGTCTATCACAATACAGTTCTGTCTCATTGCTCTTGTCTTCTGTGAATGCAGTTCACAGAAAACAGATGCCCAACAAAGCAGGACAGGAGACTGCTTATTAGTTATTACAGGGTTAGAGGTCCAGAAATCCTAAACCAGTTTTCACAGAGTCTCCTCGAATCTACTGGTGGTAAGAAACGACAACCGTTTAATTCGAATGCTTGCCGGCCAACAGTAGTACTGATATCTCATCAAGCTGAAACCAACCCATCCACAGAGGTCTCTCACTTCTTTTAAAGAATTCATTACAAATGAGAGAATCTCTTTGCTGAGGCTGAAGGAAAGTGGTGGATGTTCTTTGTGGCATAAGTCATTGAATTACTCGAAATTGCTGTTTACAATACAATGCTTTTAGGGGTTTAGTACAACACCCAGAGATTGTTCATCACTGAAGTGTTTTTACGCTGCAGGAAAAAAAAAAGAAAACCATTTTTTTCTTAAGAGCCCTAATACTATAAAACATACCAATTGTCAGATCCCATGCTGAGGCCAGTGAAAATAAGGAAAATTATGTATTCAACAACATTTAAAGTCAGAAACCCATTAGTCAAAACGCCCAATCCTGGAGACCATGAGTTACTTTCTACTTTGCTTTGTGAATGCTAAAATAAAAGGCATTATTCAAAAAATAAAATTCCCAAATTCAGTTCAGTAACAACAAATGCCGTATCTGGGCCGTATCCAGATCAGATGGAGGACCTGAGCCTAGACACGACCACAACACATGATTTAGTCAGCCGGATCCGTGCCGTATCCACATCAGATGGAGGACCTGAGCCTAGACACGACCACAACGCATGATTTAGTCAGCCGGATCCGTGCCGTATCCACATTAGATGGAGGACCTGAGCCTAGACACGACCACAACGCATAATTTAGTCAGCCGGATCCGTGCCGTATCCACATCAGATGGAGGACCTGAGCCTAGACACGACCACAACGCATGATTTAGTCAGCCGGATCCGTGCCGTATCCACATTAGATGGAGGACCTGAGTCTAGACACGACAACAACGCATAATTTAGTCAGCCGGATCCGTGCCGTATCCACATCAGATGGAGGACCTGAGCCTAGACACGACCACAACGCATGATTTAGTCAGCCGGATCCGTGCCGTATCCACATCAGATGGAGGACCTGAGCCTAGACACGACCACAACGCATGATTTAGTCAGCCGGATCCGTGCCGTATCCACATCAGATGGAGGACCTGGGCCCAGACACGACCACAACGCATGATTTAGTCAGCCGGAACCGTGCCGTATCCACATCAGATGGAGGACCTGAGTCTAGACACGACCACAACGCATGATTTAGTCAGCCGGATCCGTGCCGTATCCACATCAGATGGAGGACCTGGGCCTAGACACGACCACAACGCATGATTTAGTCAGCCGGATCCGTGCCGTATCCACATCAGATGGAGGACCTGAGCCTAGACACGACCACAACGCATGATTTAGTCAGCCGGATCCGTGCCGTATCCACATCAGATGGAGGACCTGAGCCTAGACACGACCACAACGCATGATTTAGTCAGCCGGATCCATGCCGTATCCACATCAGATGGAGGACCTGAGCCTAGACACGACCACAAGGCATGATTTAGTCAGCCGGATCCGTGCCGTATCCACATTAGATGGAGGACCTGAGCCTAGACACGACCACAACGCATGATTTAGTCAGCCGGATCTGGGCCGTATCCACATCAGATGGAGGACCTGGGCCTAGACACGACCACAACGCATGATTTAGTCAGCCGGAACCGTGCCGTATCCACATTAGATGGAGGACCTGAGTCTAGACACGACCACAAGGCATGATTTAGTCAGCCGGATCCGTGCCGTATCCACATCAGATGGAGGACCTGGGCCTAGACACGACCACAACGCATGATTTAGTCAGCCGGATCCGTGCCGTATCCACATCAGATGAAGGACCTGAGCCTAGACACGACCACAACGCATGATTTAGTCAGCCGGATCTGGGCCGTATCCACATTAGATGGAGGACCTGAGTCTAGACACGACCACAAGGCATGATTTAGTCAGCCGGATCCGTGCCGTATCCACATCAGATGGAGGACCTGGGCCTAGACACGACCACAACGCATGATTTAGTCAGCCGGATCCGTGCCGTATCCACATCAGATGAAGGACCTGAGCCTAGACACGACCACAACGCATGATTTAGTCAGCCGGATCTGGGCCGTATCCACATCAGATGGAGGACCTGAGCCTAGACACGACCACAACGCATGATTTAGTCAGCCGGATCCGTGCCGTATCCACATCAGATGAAGGACCTGAGCCTAGACACGACCACAACGCATGATTTAGTCAGCCGGATCCGTGCCGTATCCACATCAGATGGAGGACCTGAGCCTAGACACGACCACAACGCATGATTTAGTCAGCCGGATCCGTGCCGTATCCACATCAGATGGAGGACCTGAGCCTAGACACTACCACAACGCATGATTTAGTCAGCCGGATCCGTGCCGTATCCACATCAGATGGAGGACCTGAGCCTAGACACGACCACAACGCATGATTTAGTCAGCCGGATCCATGCCGTATCCACATCAGATGGAGGACCTGAGCCTAGACACTACCACAACGCATGATTTAGTCAGCCGGATCCGTGCCGTATCCACATCAGATGGAGGACCTGAGCCTAGACACTACCACAACGCATGATTTAGTCAGCCGGATCCGTGCCGTATCCACATCAGATGGAGGACCTGAGCCTAGACACTACCACAACGCATGATTTAGTCAGCCGGATCCGTGCCGTATCCACATCAGATGGAGGACCTGAGCCTAGACACGACCACAACGCATGATTTAGTCAGCCGGATCCATGCCGTATCCACATCAGATGGAGGACCTGAGCCTAGACACTACCACAACGCATGATTTAGTCAGCCGGATCCGTGCCGTATCCACATCAGATGGAGGACCTGAGCCTAGACACGACCACAACGCATGATTTAGTCAGCCGGATCCGTGCCGTATCCACATCAGATGGAGGACCTGAGCCTAGACACTACCACAACGCATGATTTAGTCAGCCGGATCCGTGCCGTATCCACATCAGATGGAGGACCTGAGCCTAGACACGACCACAACGCATGATTTAGTCAGCCGGATCCATGCCGTATCCACATCAGATGGAGGACCTGAGCCTAGACACTACCACAACGCATGATTTAGTCAGCCGGATCCGTGCCGTATCCACATCAGATGGAGGACCTGAGCCTAGACAC